TATTATTTAAGTTTATTAACAGTTAACAGTTCTTTAGAAATGGTTTCAAAAAGTTTATTATAATGAACATTTTTCTTTCTCTCCAATATTGTTGCTTTTCTAATATTCCTTGACAAACATACGGTGTGAGTGTTAAATGGTTGTAAATGTGCTCACGACTACACGTGCTCACTTGTGTGTTTGTGTGTGTGTGTGTGTGTGTGTGTGTGTGTGTGTGTGTGTGTGTTTGTGTGTGTGTGTCGGTCTCTGTGGGTGTTTGTGTGTAGATTCATACCAAACTTCTGATGGGCCTGCTAGCGCTTATTTCTTTCCATCATATAATAATACATACCAATATATGAACATGTTTTTATGCACATACATGCGTATGCTCGTAATTGCCAGTGTGTACATATATAACTACATATTTAAATATGAATCGCAACATTTGATGGATTAGAAATGCTCAATTCCATTTGAACAATATACTTATATAATAAATATTTACATAAGTATATTGATTTTGTACTGTTTTTAAAAAATTGTATAATTGTATTTGATCTTGCTAGAGAATATTTCTGTGTTAGATTCCTATTATAATTTGCTAATGTGTAAGTCGACTGTACGAATGGATTATTCTCACTTTATTTTTGTTTCGACCATCGTTCCAATAGTTTAATAGATTAAGGAAATTCTGATCTTGCGCTATTTCCGACAAAAAAAAATTATAGTTACTCGCTGATCTTTATCGGCGATCATTGGAATCAAAATCTAATATATATATATTCATATATAAGCAACAGATTTAAATTCGTTTTCATTTGTATTATTATTATTTTTCGTTTTGAGCGGCAAGCTTTAGGATTCCAGATCAGAAGTTCGGTCAGCCAGCAGTTCAGACAAAAACTGAGGACCATCAGCAGCATTTTGTGTTAAGCACATATTGTTTATATATGCGATATGTGAGATTTGAATGTTTATTATTTTTCGTTTCATTTCATATTTTTTGTTTTTTCTTTTATGTTTTTTGTGTTTATTTTTATTTTTGTTTTTGTTCTTACTTCGTTTTGGACTAAGTATGTAATACGTACATAAGTATATTGCGTAGGGGTTGTTGCGAAGGTGTTAAAACGGTTATTTTTTGTGTATTCTCGTCTATATGTTGCGCGTTTGTGTTTGTGCCTCTGTGTGTCTGTCTGTGTGAGTCTGCATGTTTGTGTGAGTGTTGAGCATCCATTGTCATATAAATTCATGTTAAATTCTTGTATTTAACTCAAAATATTATTGTTGTTCTTTGATAACGTTGTTGCTGTTGTTCGTTAACATTTTGGCAAACTGCGTATTTAAGTTTGATCTCTAGATAACAACTAATTGTTTTTTCTTGTTGACTTTCATTTATCATTATTATTTTACTTTTACTTTGTATTTATTTAGATCGCCTGTGTACCGTTTCTTATTTGTAAGTGTCTAATTCATTTATTTAAATATTTAGCCTATTTACTTATGCATTCAGGGGACACACACAAACATACATACTATGTTCATCAATCATCTGCTTGTGTATGCATTTTAAGAGTGTCTGTGTGCATGTGTAAGTGTGTGTGCGTGTGTGTGTGTGTTGTGTGTGTCAATAACAATACTTTTAATCAATCTTTCTTAGATAATATCATATTTAGCAGTTGACTACGACTGCGCTTGTCACAATAAAACCCAATCAATATCATTAAGAAATTTACGTACTTAATCAATTACTTATTCAGTAATACCATATGTTAGTATGCATATGGAGACACATCCATACGCATGCATGTGCCACTTGAGCAAATACACATATGCACGCATGCAATTATACACACTTCGAATCAATTTGAGTCACATGCTGTCTTAGAGATAATCACTTACAAGATAATTACAAATTTCTTAATTATGGCTTTCATTTTTCTTTTAAGTTTGTATTTTGATGAATTACTAGATTCCCGAAGGTATTGTTTTATTTCATTTACATTGTACACACTTAAATATGTATCCAAATATGCAAGTGTAATTAGCTGCATATAATTAAGTTTAGTATACGAGCATGTGTATTGTGTGCTTGTGTGCGTGTGTGTGTGTGTCTAGTCTGTATGTATTCGTATAGTAAAGAGTACTTAGTATAGTTATGAATGCTTGTAAATTGTCTTCATAGTTTTCACACTGTTTAATATGCACATGCTTATATGCATATGTTATGTAGATGAGTTTAGATTTGCGAATTCCCCCATCAAAATTGTTGCCTATATATTAAATGATTTTTATGAGTTCACCGTAATTTTTCTGGGTATTTCAGTAAATTTTCTCAATGTCTTAGCTATGCTAAACCCTCCCCACAATTGCCGTGCATACAAGACAGACAACAGCACATACATATCTGTACATACATACATATACATATATAACATATGCACATATATTATTGGGTAATCCTGACATGCATTCAATTTTATTTACTAACGAGAACAAAGTCTTGCACATTACGAACAAACAAACAAATATTTTGGATTTGTATGCCTCATGTTGTGGGTAACTCTATATGGAGAACACAATTTTGAGCTCTTCGAGTCTGGAAGAATATTCAAAAATGCTAAGAAAATTGTCTGAAGCCATTCTGCATCCACCTATTGTAAGGATGCTGCCCCTTTGTTACACGTGGGCGATCTAGCTGGCATCAGTGGAGGAAAGAGTTGATGCGGATCATCGTCATCCAAGAAAGCTCAGCCAAAGTCAGAGTGGACGATGGCTTTGAGAAGACCATCGAAGGCACTTTCCTTATCACCTTTGAGAAAGTCGCTAATATCAATGGCACCCAATTTTAAAATCCATATAATAACTTGTAAATAAAGGCGCCAGGCTCAGTCAGTGAAGGTTTATAGTACGTCCGAAAATTTGTAAAGATGAACACGTTTGTCTTAATTTAAAAAGAACGCGACTTGGCCGTTTGGCTTTGTAATTGGGATAATGAACGATGGAAATGTATGTATAGCGTCCAACGTGGGACATGAATTACAAATAGTTGTTATTATCATAAATCCGAACCAATATATTTTTGAACGTTTTTATTGGATTCGGTTGGAGGAATAAGTCCCAAATATTGGCGGCTTATATGTAGCGACTTTAATCTACTTATAATTGACACTTAGAAACAATTATGCGGGTGTGGAAGGGACTTTTTGACTCAAAACATGCCAAGTGCATATTTTTGGTTGGCTCATACAAATATATAAAACATACATATGTATGTGTACATAATACATATGTAATATATTCGAAATTGTGCATACTTATATGCATAGACATACTTATTTATTATTTGCTCAATATGTCTGTTAAAGTATATGCATTTCAGTTATATTTTTATTGGATTCTTGAATATGCTCAATTTGATCTACAACTAGCTATGTATGTATTTACATATGCTAACATACTTTGTTTTTATGGCTTTTATTCTCGAACTCTGACAACATCCATCCAATTAATGTACTAACTAATGAAACTTTGTTCCATCTGTGAGCAATCTTTGAACAAGCACTTGTCCTGGGTTATCTACGAGCTTGCATATACTTATACATATGTTTGAATGAATGTACCTATCTTAATGCCTATGTATGTGTGAATTTATGTGTTCATTTTTAATTCTTTCTTTAACTAATTATACTACTAGTCATCAATAGGCTAGCTAGTGTACATACCAAGTGTAAGTCAGTGCAGATGATTTTAGAAATTATGAAATTTTGATAAACATTCCACATATGACCAAAAAAAAGAAGCTGAATAGCACCGCATGCTAGCAGCACATACGTGAAATCTGTTCGAAAGCTTAGTTGCATTTCATTCTAACGTATGACTAACAGGCCTTTTAAGTATATCATATCATCAAAGTAGTGTATATATATTAAAGCTTCTGCTTTTTCAGCTCAGAGTTCTTGAAAGGGTAGAGAAATTGATTTCGAAAGTTTGGTCATCCACAACATAACCTTAAAACGCGTTTCAATCAATTTTTTACATTTTCTTAATTTTCTTCTTTTTCACACAATCATGTTATGAATACCTGCGATTATCTAACATGAACCTTTACGATTAATTCGCGCGTAATATGTCTATAATTGTTATTGTTACAGATTGTTACTTATGCTTTATCATATTTTATTAACTGTTTGCCTTATCATAATAAAACGCATTACTCCTATTATAATGGTTATCCATTAAGTTATTCAATGTGAATTGATGGCACTCGGCCTCAAAATCTATCAGTCGTTATAAAATTTGCCCATATCAAGGGTAACTTTTGCAGCACATGACACAGGTGCATAAACAGTATCATTTAATCTGGATGTATGGTATATGTGCACATATATCTGCATCAGCATCAGTGTCGCTAGCGGCAGATCAGAGACTTATACGTATGTAAATACGACATGCCTATGTACAATGGTTGGCAATGTGCAAGAGATCAAACTACGGCAAAAAAAAAAAAAAAAAATTATTTCCCAATCTGGAAATAAATTCTCTTTTTTCGCACACATTGCACAGAAATTGTTCTCAAAATTTCATAATACTCGTACATCTCTTGACTTCTGCACATATCGCAGCTAGAAAGCTATAAGTTATAAATGGGTCTATTATTGAATTCAATCTTTTTTTCCTGTTTGCTTTTTGTTTTGGGTATGTAAGCGCTTTCAAAAGACATTTACTTTATATTATTTCCCAGCTCTGGTTTTCATACATATATATAACAAACATATGTATGTTTCTATGTATATGTATGCGTGTGTAGGTATTTACAATTATTACATTCATTAGAAATACGTTGAATTTATCAGGCGTCGCCGGCACGTCTGAGGTACTTATGTATGTACATACTAGTATGTAATTAAGTATAAAAATTGTTAAATCTAATTCACATGTAAGTGCATATTCGCGTATATGTCTGTCTGTCTGCATGTATGTATGTATGTATATATGTATGTATGCATGCATGAAGTATGTATGTACATGTATGTGTCTGTGTGTGTGTATGTGTGGGTGAGTGCAATGACCTACATATAATCAATTAATTGGTTGTTTGGTTTAGCTCGCATGGCGTTAACTTTTTTTTTAACTTTACATTTATCCCATACTATAACTAGGTGTGTATGTACGTAATTATATACGAGTATGTATGCTATTTGTTATGTTTTCACTTCATTTGTTTTTAATTCATTTTTTTATTTTTAAACTATTTATGCATATGCTAGAGTACTGCGAGTACCAAAAGTCTGACTGAATCGTATGATTTGAACGCTTGCCTGTCTTTGCCAGCCGTTGGGTTTGGCCAGAAAACGGACGAGCTTTGCGAGTTTACTTTGGTGATGCTGTAGATGCAGCTGAAGCTAAAGATGTTTGAACTGTCAATGCTTATATTCCGGGTAACAGCCATTCTCGGTTATTTGACCGGATTGACTGTTGTTGCTGCTGCTGGTATCGACCGATTGCTGTTGAAGCTGATGCTGATGCTGCTGATGCTGCTGCTGCTGCTGATGATGATGCTGATATTGCTGATGCTGATGCAATTGCAGCTGATGGAGCTGTAATTGCTGTTGGCTTATGGCCGCCGTGTCTGCCGATTGTGATTGCAACGTGCGGCGCGTAAGTGGCTGGATAACACTTCCACTGCTTTCCGTCTCCGTTGAGGGTGGCGAGGGGTAATAGTCCCTCTGACTTACATTTATACCATTTGGGACGACTGCCATACCCATTATAGAGTTGTTGTTGGCTGCCGCCGCCGCCGCCGCAGCTGCTGCCGCTGCGGAGGATTGATGATCGCCGTGGTGCTGGTGCGGATGCTGATGGTGGATAACGTTGTTCGTTGTAGCTACCGACATGGGCGCGACGCCGCTGGATGGTTGGGAATCCGACATTGTGCCGGATTGCGGCTGGTCCAATACCACGACGGATACCACATCCTCACTCGCCCACCGGGCTAACTGTTGTTGAGCTTGAATAAAGTCATCACTAGAAAATAATAATCGTAACAGGAACAACGGTACATGGTAAGAACACTAGGGGGGCTCATCAGGACTCAGGACCATAGGCTGGGACTGGTGCAGGCACATTGACCTTTCATGCACAAAGGGCGACATATCAAAGCACAGTCGAAACTGAACGGAATTTGGCAACCATTTTCCTAGCTTTTGTTAACTTGAAAAATCCTCACGAACCAGACAGAAAACTGGAAAATAGTGCTCATAAATGCAATTATTTGGACTCTGAGATCAAAGAGGCTAACAGATTGACACAGAATAGAGATGGCGGTAATCGTTTATAAACAACAACCAAAAATGCACAGAAAAAATGTGTGTGGAAAAATTTCAATTGCATAAATCAAATTTTGTACTCCGTTAAATAAAGTCTAGATTTTATAATAATTCTGCGACGCATCTTGAAGTATACAACATAATATAATTTGTATATAAATTTAAAGTAAACACAGTTCGTATCGAAACGGAATAGTTTTGCATTGAACTACTCACTAAACAGATTGAACAAGAATCTGACTCAAAGGCAAATAGGGCAAATAATCAAAGGATCTGTTTAAAATAACAGAAAACAAAAATATGGCAACGCTGCGGAAGTGATGCTAAGACAACAAATAACTGTAAGACCAAGCGAGCAGCGCGATGAACGGCTCACGCGCTCATCTCTAAAACTGGATCTCATGTAGCCACAGGCTGCAAAATGAGCTGTAACCAATCTAGAACACAATCAAGGATTGTGGATATTATTAAAATAGGGAGTCTGCTTGGGTTGCGAACGGGAGGCGATTGGACGCGACATTGATATTCATATATATATCTATATATCCATATATATATATATATATATACATATATGTATGTGTGTATGTAGGTGGAGAGACGGAGACTTACCTTTCGCTCTCGGGCGTCTCCTGTTGATCGAGTCGAGTGTCGAGAACGCCGCGTTCATGATGATCGGCGCTCTCGTAGATGCCCTCATCGTCCTGGTGCAGGTGCGTGTGCGACGAGTGGTGCGATGAGTGTGGACCGTGTGTGGCATGTCCGTGGGCGTGCGAATGGTGTGTATGGTGTCCGAATGCATGCGGAGAATGCGACTGATGCGTTGGATGGCGGCCAGTGGGCGCCGGCTGGCGGTAACGTCCGCCGTAGGCAAAGCGCGTATCCTCGTCAGAGCGGGGCCGGCAACGGCTGCTGTAAGACGGGTGAATTGTAGCTGTTTTCTGAGATTGAGCTGCTTGCTGGTTCGAGCTGGCGGTGGGCAAAAAGCAAAAATTCAATCAAAGACTCTTTTTAGCATAGTTTAAGGACAATAAAACGCGAAACGGGATAGGCGGATAGGGATCTGGGGATAACGAGACCGAGACCGAGTATATTTTAGCGAAGGCTACGATAACGACAGATGAGCTGCACACATATCGTTATTACACCAAAAGAAAAGAAAGTATACTTAAAAAATTACCAAAAACAATTTCATACTCGTGAAGTTATTAAATGGGTATATGGTAATCAGTCAGAAGGCAGCGAACCCTATTTTGTATCTTTTGTATCAGACTATATTTAAAGGGTTCGATTGGGGTTTGAGAACCCGTGGCTTTACTTTCTTTAAAGGGGAGCTACTTTGTTTTTGTACTGTAGGCGTGGCAACGCTTGTGAAACCAACCTTTATCACACAAGATATTCCAGTCTGAAGCCTGCAAGAAATGCGAATAGAAAGTTGCGTTGGCTAAAGTTCGATATAAATATCTGCAGTCCAAACGGACCACAGCATAGTACATGCTCATCTTGGTTTGAAGAAATTATGTGAGTGTGTGTCTGTGTGTTGTATATTGAATGTTTATGCGTTTGTTCCAGCTGTTGTTCTATGTTGCAACAATGTCTGCAATGTTGTGAAGAATGTTAAAGCCATATATAAATTACGCTAGACCATTAACAATGTGAAGCAATTGCGCTACATTTGATCAGGTTATAGATTTTCGAAAAGGTTAATTTTAAATTTGAACTGAATGATTGATAAAACGAGTACAAATAATACTTATTGCGGTTATAAAGCAAGCATATCGGTACTGTCTATTAAGAAAGTACTTTTGAATCGCAATGCACACAGCTGTTGAGTACATTCAACAAATTACGAGTACGAGTACGAGTACCAGCAAATCCTACGCTAAGTCAAACAAGGTACGTGTATGGGTATGCGTATGTATGTATATCTGTGTGCGAGTGTGTATTTGTGTATTTTGAGTACAATGCAAAATAAATGTAAATCCTATGCATGATAAGCGTTTATCAGGTTTGACGGACTCGGCATTTACATATTTTGGGTATATTTTTCTTGGATTGGGAATTTCGGGTTCTTGGGATTGGCGTCGAAATAAAATCGAAATCGAATACGAATTCGAAACTAACCCTTGCGAGGACTCACTACAAGCGGCGGAACTATCTAATCTATAGTGACGATCGGCCTCAGTTTCCGACATGCGTATATCCTCGGAGCCACTGGGACTCATGTGACGCGACGAATGATGCTCAAGCTGCCTGATCAGGTCCTCCAGATTGCGTATACGCAGCGGCCCAGTCGATGGGGCATCATCCTCGTCAGTTGGCTGCTGTTGCAGTGCCAGTCCAGGAGGCTGATGTAACTGATGTTGCGATCGATGATGATGCATCATTGCCCCGCCATGACCAATAGCGTTCGCTAAGCCACTAGCACCACCAACGCCAATGCCACTACCAACACCCCGTCCGCCGCTCATGTCAGCACCAAGTGTCAAACCGCCCAACGCAGAACCACTACCGTCCAACAAAATGGCATGTGCGGCGGCACTGTCGCAGATATTCTCACGCGAGCTCGACTTGGAGCCGCTGGCCCGCTTGTAAGGCTCAGCGGCATAGCCCAGCTGGGCATTGTTGCAGTCCTGCAGTGTTTTGCGTAACATTTCCTCACTGAGGCTGCCACTGCCGACGGGCGTGTTGCCAGTACCGGTGCCGCGATGCGAGGCCGCATTACGCAGCGCCTCTAAAATGTCCTCATGGTAACCGTTCAGCGATTTGAGCGTGCGCTCCACTTCTGAGGCAGCCGCACCGCCAATTGTCGAGGTCTGTGTGCCATCCTGTGTAATCAACTCCAGATTATCCGACTGGCTGTCATCGCACCACTTGTCTTTAAGCTGCTCGCCATGCACAAGTCCGTAACCATGCTTCTTCAGTATGCCCTTTTCTGTGTGGCGTCCAATCGAATCAAATGAGTTGTCAAGCGGTTCCAATGTACATGCAAAAGAACATACAAATGTGGTAGAGTCAGACAGCAGAGAGTGCAGAGAGCTCGTCGTATACAGGGTAGTAGAAGTGGTCATGGTATGAACATAGTAAAGTAGTAGTAATGTAGCAGTAGTAGAGGTAATAGTCGTAGTATTATTATAAGTAGTGGTATAAGAAGCACTAGAAGTAGTTGCTGTATAAGTAGGAGAAGTCGGAGGATTAGTAACAGTAGCAATAGTAATAGAATAAGTAGTAGGAGTAGAGGTAGAAGTAGTGGTACAAGTTGAAGTCGTAGTATGAAAAAAAAGTAAGCATTAGCTGTAGTAGTAATAATATAAGCCGTAACAATTTACGGACTGTTATTAGTAGTAGTTTAATAGATATTGACATAGTAGTACCAGTATAAGTAAGGTAGAAGTAGTAGTAGTAGTAGTAGTAGTAGTAGTAGTTGTAGTAGTAGTAGTAGTAGTAGTAGTAGTAGTAGTAGTAGTAGTTGTAGTAGTAGAAGTAGTAGTAGTAGAAGTAGTAGTAGAAGTAGTAGTAGAAGTAGTAGTAGTAGTAGAAGTAGTAGTATTAGTAGTAGTAGTAGTAGTAGTAGTAGTAGTAGTAGTAGTAGTAGTAGTAGTAGTAGTAGTAGTAGTAGTAGTAGCTTTAGTAGAAGTAGTAGTAGTAGTAGTAGCTTTAGTAGCTTTAGTAGGTTTAGTAGTATTAGTACTAGTAATAATAGTAGTAGGATTAGAATTGGAAGAATCAGAGAGAGTAGAGAGTGCCGCAAGAAAAATTACTCATTTACAAAAATGTGTTTAGATTATAACTTAAATCAACAATTTTCACTTCCTTAACCCTGCTTATTGTTAGCTAATTAATTATACTTTCAAATTATTGGAACATAGCCTTATATTTTAACACATTTAAGACTGCTGCGGTTACTTTAAATATATAATCTACATAATGTACAGCATTACAAGTATATATTATATATAAAATATATCAGTTTCCATTAATTTTTCGACCTTGGATTATAAAATCTACTTGTAAAAATCTCTGAAACATGTCAAGTATTAGAATTCACATAGAGAATGCAATAGTTTTCGAACCATTGCCCATCCTTATGAATGAAATTTTTCAAGACCCAGCTCTTGATTACTTTAATTACTTTGCATTCGTTTTTATAGGTTGAAACTACAAAATTTTAAGCTTTCGATAATCAAATCGACTAACTCTTGTTGTCTTCTAGTCTGCAAAAACCAGTCGAAGTTTTAAAGGGAGAAGCTTACTAAGATATGCTAAAAAGTGCTGGTAAGCTGTTATTTATAAACGCGAATTTTTAACTTATACGAATAAAAAGGAGGCACGAGTAAAACTTTCTTATAAAAGAAATTCCTCGCTGGAAATTCTGGGACGTTTTTAATATATAGATAAGTCAAACAAGCTTTTTTTTTAAAAAATATAACAATTTGCTAAGGTTTTTAGATGCAGCAAAAATTATTGAATAAACTTTGTGTATGATATTGAACGAATAATAGTCTTATGAAGAAGACAAACAGATATGTGTTTTGTATGTGTACAGTGTATAACTAGCTTTACAGTAATTATGACCAACTGACTGTAACCTTAAGTTCAGGCTCCCGAGTGGAACGAATAGCAATCGTATTGTATGTAATATATAGGGTAACTATCTTAAAACTACAAATCAATTTAAGAACGTACGTTTAATTAGGTATTGCAATATAGCAATATATATAGTATTAACAGGAAACAGCAAAGGCACTGAATTAATGTAAGTATATGTATTTATATAGTATATATACTAGTTAATAACGTCAATTACTTGGTATACCTATGCATAGCAATATGATACGTATACGATATTTGGTTTGAGAACTGTGTAAGTGCTTGTCACAAAGTATGAAATTTGTATTGAATATGGTGAACTCTAAAGCATGAATATGTATATGGAATGTTAATGTTGTTGTTGTTGTATTAACCTGCATGTGATTGATCATCCTCACCACCCGTCGTATAGCGACGTCCATGTAAATTCTTATCCCTGCATGAAATGGAAGACAAACGAAAAGCAAATACGATAGAAAAATGCACAAAAATACATAAACGTAACGAGCCGTATTTAAAAGCGACTCTGGGGTGTGTGTGTGTGTGTGTATTGGATTTGAGAGATGGAAATTCTCACCTGAATCCGGCTTGATTGGCATACACCAATTTACTGGAGCCATCTAAGGACACCTCCTCGACGGAATGATGGTTGTTGGGCGCCGTTGCCGCACCGCCGTAGCCCTTGGGGATGGGTTTTTTTGAGAAGGGCGGATCGTACTTAAGGGTGGTTGTCTTGCGTCTATGTTGATGTTGGTATCGACGTCAGAGTTGTTTGGTTGTTGTTGTTATTGTTGTTTATTTTATATGATTTATATATGTATATATAATATATATATATATACATATACATATATATATATATATATATATATACAATATATATATAGATACATATATTCAATTCATGGGTTTTTGTATACACACAGGGCATATACATACATATATAGGCATATATAAATATACATATATATATATATGTACATATGTATAATTGTTTAAAGCGTTGAATGGTGCGTATGATTTTTGGATTTATAATTCATTATGAAATTATTTGTATTGGATTATATACAAAATCAGTTCGAAACGTATTTGGCATGGTCGATGGATTTGGTCGTAGGTTGGTTGATCGATTGGTAAGTTGGTTGATTGGTTGGTTGGTTGGTTGATTGAGATACGATAATATACATACATATCAAATATGTTTGTATACACGAGGTGTATGAGGCGTAGGAATGCCAACATACACACACCCACACAGACACACAGAGACAAAAATACACACATGCAAAGGGTCAAACAAACACAAGCACACTCACAAGCACACACACAGGCACACACACAGACGCATACACAGACAGAGACATACACACATACACACATACGTACGCGCCGTATTTTAGGATGTGGGTGTGTGTACACATGGCACGGTGTTTACACACATACATTTTGTTTGTTTGATTTGAATTTAGATTTTGTATTTTTGATTTTCGATTAAATTTTCGGTTGATTTTGTTTTTGTTGTTGGTTTCGGATTTTGTTGTTGTTGATGTTGTTGTTGTTGTAGTTATTGTTATTGTTATTGTTGTAGTTGTTGTTGTTGTTATTGTTGTTGTTGTTGTTGTTGTTGGGAAACGAAAGGTTATGATGAGATACTTGATTAATAATATGCTCGCAATAGAATTGTATTTCATTTTTTTTTGTTTTGTTTTGTTTTGTTTGTTGTGAAAAGAAAAATCAAGTGCCACATAAAGAATTTTGTTATGCAAAGATAAATGCAAATGAAAATACATACATACATACCCATAAACATAACTGTACATATGAACAATATGCGTACAATATTTATATTTATATTTATGTTTATTTCTCTTCATGGGTATTTACATTTTATAGCACTCCAAATATGTATGTAGATATGTATGTACTTGCAACACGACTTCAATACATTGAATGTGCCTGAAGAAAGGCTAAAAATAATACGAAATAGGAACGAAACAAAAGCAAAGTATGTACATATGTAAATGCAATATGTAAATTAACAATGATGACATTCTTGAAGGAACATGATATGAAACCAGAACTTTGCAGAGAACAAAGAAATTGTTTGAAAACTTTTGGATTAACGCATTATCAATGAAATTCTTCTCAAAAACACGTCAACGACATAACACGAAACACAAATTCATAATATTTATGCTTTCCACATTTATTAAAAGAATGATTATATTTATGTATGCAAGTATGTTGAACAGTCGTAATATGTAGGCGCGGACAGGGGGCAGTAACTTTGTTTGGTTAGACAATTCGTTGACCTGACGCATACATACTTACATACGCAGGCATACCTACATACATACATAAAATCATGCATGCCAGCATTCACACATACATACATCAAACACACAGACAGTTGGAAACATACATATATATTATGGAATAAATCACACGCTTAATACTCTTTAGCAGGCTTGTAAATAGTGTTCTTTTTTCAGTCAGCCCGAGTTAGATGAAGAGGAACACACACAGAGAGGCAGAGAGAGAATAGAAAGTGAATGAGAGAGAGAGGGAAAGCCAAAGATGGACAAATATAGATAAACAGAGAAAAAAAGAGCGACAAGCATGGATGAGACACAAGTACTTACAAAAGGGTAAAGAACGTAATGAAAGCTGAAGGTCGAATGGGATCGGAAAGACATGTATTTAAGTGAATTTATTTACATGTGTATGTGTTGGTATATACGTACATACGTATGAGGGCCGTCACGTATGAATTTATGCACACAAATAAGAATAACTTTTAAATATTGTATTGTAAAAGAGCCTCCTGCTTATTTTTAAAATATTTTTCAGTCACGATCGCGTAATATCAGAAACTTTTTGTCAATATATTTCAAATTCAACTGTGTATTTTATTTTTACGATATAAAACTTTAAATGGCGTTAAGCAGAATTTGCATTGAATAAAAAATGCCATAGCATACTTTTAGGTTGAATACATTTCAGGCTTTGAAACAGATATAAATTACATATGGGCGATAGGCTTTTTATAAATTTAAGCATACCCATATGCAATAATTGAATATGGATTAATATTGGATATACAATAACTTATTTCAAATGCATACAGACATACAAAGACAGCCTGCTACGCGTTTAGCTTGCGATGTGAATGTGAAGCGATTAAAGACCGTAATATATGGTATGGTCCTTATATGTGTATGAAAGCTTAGTTTAAGCACCAGGATTGAAAATTGGGGAACGGGATAATGGATAATGGGGCTGTAGCATGTATTGTGGTTACCTATGGCATATGTGTCTATGTACATAAACACATATGCATGAGGTATGCGTGTTTATTGTGTGTGTTGTTAATATCGAAAATCGATGCTGATACGATAGTACACAAAGAAAACACGTAAACTTACACATACAATGTATAGAAAATATGTATGCAAGTATTTTGATGCTTTCTGTGTGTATATTGTATTCATTTCGTACATTTTCAATAAGCTCATGATGACGGCTCATCGGAAACATCGCTGGCTCTCTCTGCAGAAAGCACCACCATAACTCAAAGTCAGTTTCGTCTATGTTGGGCCCTATGCGCAAAATGAGATCTCCAATTGCCATTGGAGGCATAGCAAATGCGTTTGGCAAATGCTTTCCCCCAACCTACATACAATATCGTCTGAAGAGTATGCATTTGAATGCATAATTCTTCTTATTATATTTGGCTTTGGGCTGCAAGTAAGCGGGGGGCCTTGTTACTTGGTTGTGTGTGGGTTTTTCTTTTTATATTATTATATTATATATGGGTGTATGGTATTTGTGAGACTGTATCTAAGTATCATTATAATGATGTGGCAGTCCTAATATGTAAGTACTTTGGCATATGCATTAGTTATATAGTATTTCGATTAGGTTGGGTTATTTATATTATTATTATAATTGTTTTTGGTTTTTTTTTGGTTTTTTGTTTTAATATTTCGGGATTACTAAACTGAACAAAAGTAGTAATGAAAATAGTCAACAAGTTCGGCGATCAGCGACGCTCTGACCACAATTTCCATTTCTTGGCGTGGTCTTGTTCAAATCTTATGATTTATCACTCATTAACAATAATCAAAAATAGTTGATGCTAATACATATTGAACTAAAAGGCTATGTATTGAAAATAAGTTGGGAAATAAAATATAAATATGCATATGTTATTATCATGTACTTATGTGTACTACGATTGATCCCATTGTATTTATTTGATAATAATATTAATTAATCGTTTTGCTTAAATTGGAGGATATTTTTGTATGCACTATGTACATACATAGGTAAATTCATGCAAATCTCTTTGAAATTTGAAATTTTATCAGAACGATATATGTGGTTGTGCCGCTTTACTTTAATATATAAGTAGTAAAAGGTTACTGTGCGGGGGCTCGCTATAAACTAATCGGCGAGAAAAGCACAATACTTTATTGTCAAACATTTTTTAAATTTATATATATTATGCATATATATATTGTAGAATTTCCAATATTTGCTTATATTTCGGTGTGTCAAGTTGCAAGCCTTTTATATCATTTCATTGATGGTTTTCTCCCAGACTTTTTGTTGCTATTTACTGCTTGTTCTCCTACTAATATTTAATTGCTTTATTACTGATTTTTTCTATTTATAACAAAAATATATATCCAGCAAAGCTGCTCTAGAGTTTTTCTATTTATTTATTTTCTATTTTGTTTCTATACATTAAGGTCAAATGCTTGTCAGTCCTGCCTCGTAATATATAATTTATCCTATAAAAGCTGCATTTATCTACTTTCAGTGGACGTTTGACAGTCTTTTAGTTACTAATTAATTTTCTGTCTAGCTATAATTATAGATTTTAAAAGCTATTGATTTACTACTCAGCAAATGTTGAATTCAGCTGCTTAAATACACGCTATCTCTTTGAAGTTGTTGTTGTTTTCTATTCTGTTTTCTATTTATATAATTGATAGGTTTGAAGCTGACAAAAAATTGCTAATTCAAGCTGCAAGGCCATATAAATAAGAATTTTATTGCTAAGTGTTGTCGTGTGTTTGGATTTGCCTTATTTGACAAAAGGAAGAAATATAATACAACAAAAAAGGGCTTTTAAATAAAAAAAAATAATAATTATTGTCGGACTAGTATGGGGTGGTTGGGCTTAGAGCCATCAGGAACGAACCGTGAGTTTGTAGATGCAACCTTTGATTATAATGAGGATTGTGCATGTCCGTGTATATGTACTTGCATGTACGTATGTATGTCTCATTTAATTTATGTACATTCATCCGTACACACATATGTAATTAGATCTGCTTTAACAGTAAGTATATGTGAATATATGCGCTACACAGTTGTAAGTACATATGTAGTTATGTACAAACTCACATTATTCTAGAATAGGCATACAATCATATGTACATACAAGTTTGTCTGTTAATAACACAAAATATATGTAGAATGTGGTTGTCTATGGTTTTCACGCTGGATAAGTATGTACAAAGGAATTTAAATGTATGTGAACTGATAAAGTAAGTGAGGAATGGAAGCCAACAAGCGAGAAACCAGAATATATAGTATGTACATATAAATGTATGCATTTACTTAATCTGAACTATGTACATATGCATATATGGACGTTTTGATACCATTGCTATGAGTATATACACAAATTTATGCATATATATATATGTGCATATATAAAAGTATATATAGCGTATATATATGCAAATATATCTGCACATATATAGACACACAGTAATATGTACAACGTGTGCATTTGAATGCAATGGCAATTAATCGGTTTTTAAATGGTTTCAAAAACGAACTGAATACACAAAAAATGACAACGTTCACATTGATGTACATATGCATGTAAGTGCATGCATACATATGTATGCAGAAGATGCATGCATATATACACACATGTACGCATGTATTAATGTACTAAATACTACGACTCATAATGAAGACAACATTTGGAAAGATTAAAAATGATTTAAATCGGAAACAAAAACATATTAACAAAATATTGCGTTTTTTTTCGATTTTTGTTAGTGTTCTTTTGTACTTTTTGCATTGCTTTTGCAGTTGTTGTTTTTTGTTTTTTTTTTTTTTTGTTGTAGTAATTTGTATTTTGTATTTAGAGCTGGCTTTTTCATTACTTCTTTTCAACTAACCTCAGACACAGGGAGAAGTTTCTATGTACTACAACTGACCTGTAGCACAATGCCATCAAGGTGAATGTTATAAAAACGAACCCTACAACTGACATTAGAACACCGACTAGGAACACTGTATTTGAGCCGTGGTAGTTCTCTATACGAGATTATATTTTGCCATTTGTTTCGATATAAATGTGAGTGCGTTAGTGTGTGTGTGTGTGGATGTGAATGGTATTCGTTTTGTGCGAGTGTGTGTGAGTGTTTGCGGATTTAGATTTGATGCGTTTGTTAAACATATGCATACAAACACACACATATATATATATAAATATATATAGATATGCATAATATATGTATATATAAACAATATTATGCATACGCCCCGGTGTATTGACAATTTTGGTTTTCAATATATTTTAAAATAGTTTATAGTTGGATTTGCATACGTTACGTTATAATATACCAGGTGTTTTTTTTTTTTGTTGTTGTTGATAGTTTTTTTGTTTTTATTTTATTTACACATATGTATATATTTTGTTTTTTTTGTTGAAGTTGTTGGATTCGCCGATATCAGTTTAGCAGGTGGGTGGTGGGTCAGCCGAAAAAAAACAAGCAAATAAATAACATTTTGTACGTTTTCTTCATTTTCTTATTGTATTGTTTTTTCTTTGTTGTTATTTTTGGAGGTTTCACAAAAATATTAGAGCTCAGCACACAAGAAAAGGCAATTCGGCATTTATGTGCATGAAATTTGACAGGCATACATATACACATAAATATATATATATGTATATGTGTATATGCATGGGTATTAAGTGCCGTTGTTGGACTACCAACAAAAAGTTTCTTTCGGCCACAAAACGCATCGAATGAAGCCGAAATCGAACGATTCTCACATTTGCGCCTCGAGTTTACACTTTCAGTTACAGTTAAACTGCAATTTTTAATTACTTTCAAAGTGTTTTTTTATTGTAATTTAGTTTTTTCTTGACTTTTGTTTTTTGTTTTTTTTATACTTTTCGGCATCACCCAGGCTATGACAATGGTAATCAAAGCTATGCAAAAATTCTATAAGAAAGGCCACGCCTCCGAGCTACGCCCTAACAAATATGTATATGTATGTTACATATATGTTGTTCAAGCAAAAACATTTCAATATATACACATAGATACAAAGGACCTTTAACAATCGAAGATATATACTGATATACAATCAGAGATATATACTGATACAAATATGTTAACATATATGTATATATATATAATTTGTACACCAACGCTTATGTGTCGCATTTACGATTGTTGAAGACCGTTTGTTAATGGATATTGCGCATACATTTACTTCGGGAAGTGTTTAAAACGTACAATAAATTCTATGTATGTATGTATTAAGTTTTTACTTTGGATTTCAAATATATCGAAAGCGTGGTGTCGGTTTCTTAAAAAGATCTTAAGTATTAATTTGTGCATGAGTCGTGTTCCCGGAAGTGCGCGGCGCATGTGTGTATGTATGTCTCTGTGTGTATTTGTGTGCGTGTGTGTCTGTTAATTTAAGGAAGAGGAAGTAGGTTTAGTGGGTGCGATTCGGGTGTTTCTGTCTATTTTGTAGTGTGCATGATTGTGATCATAAATATTACTTATATGTAAGTATGAATGCATGTGTATATGTGAATGCACACGAGTGTGTTCTGTAAGTCCAACATATGAATACATATACAGTTTAAAGGTACACACATACATACACGGCATTTGATATACGAACAACAATGAAAACAAACACAGATAACTCAATAGCATTAACCAGCGCGCAGATATATAAGTACATCAAGTGTTTAACAACATATATACATACAGACATATACATACATATGTACGCAGCTATGTGCATACATACAAACAAACCGTAAGTCATTATGTATATGGAACAAAAGAAATATAAAATGAACGAATACACACAATGAAAAAAAAAAAACAACAACAAATACATAAAACGGACGAAAAACGAGAAAATAATTCAATAGTTTTTAACAATCACAATTGGCATATATGTATATATATGTATGTACGAGTATACAGCATACATAGGTACATAAATACATATGTACACACATACAGATACATAGATTCTCAGTCTTTAAAAAATAAATGAAAATTACACATAATTAAGTATAAATGAAACCTGATACATAATGGCAGTGGCAGCTATGTATGCACATACATACAAACATATATGTTTGCGAAATACTTTAAGCAAACGAGCACATGCATACAATCACACACACACATACATGCATACGCACACATAGGTATGTGTTCGGGATAGTGTGGCATATTTCAAAGCTATTGGTCAGGCATTTAAGCAAATCCTATCTCTAAAGTAAATTATTGTCTTTCAAATTATAAAGCGTACTCAGATGAGCGAAAGAGAGGGAGAGAGAGAGTGAGAAACAGCGATAGAAAGCAGTAGCAAGGGAAAGAGGCAGAAAACGAAAGGGAAAGAGAAACTGCTAAGCCTGACCTTAAGCTTTAAGCATGCAGCATACAAAAAAGTCTGAGCCCCGCTAGGGTATTTTTCAGGTCTATAAGTAGTCATTTCTGATGTTGGCTCAACAGCTTTATAACGGTTATTTTGTTTGCTCTTCTTGCTACTTTATGTTTGCATTCTATGCGTATGCGTGTACGCGTATAAATATGTATGCATGTGCATGTGTGAGTGCATGTGTGTTTGTGATCGGTGTAACCGATTGTTGAGTTGCTTGGTACTCTACCTGTAGCAAACGGCCAGTGTTGCAAAACTAATGAAGACACATTTGACGATAACTGTTAAAATGATGACCATGGTTAATGTGCTGATCCTATTTTGGTCAGAGGTGCCTGGAAATGGTGGTTGCATTTATTGTATTTTTTAATCGATTTTTTTAAATCTTTTTTTTTTTACCAAATTATATAAATTTGTATATATATATGCTGCAATTGTTCTGAAATCTGAATACTAAAGTTATCTTTTTTTGCGTATCTAACACGTAAACTTATTGATTTCTATTTACCCAACTTTTAATTTAAATTAATAATAAAAAATGCTTAACAACCTAGGATATTTAGTATAATTTGAGTGAGCTAACCGGACAAAGACAAACAGAACAGGAAATAAGCCAATTTCATAGAATCAATGTTGAATACCCTAGAAAAGCCGTTTCCATTATTTTCTATAAATGGTTTCTGGATTCATACCATATTTTTTTACTCTAATTACGTTTGCATTAGTCTAAGCAAAAGAACCCATAACTGATCCCATATGTAATTAGTCTTAGCCAAAAAAAAAAAAGAAAACCAAGAAGTAAAATATGTTTGAGATCTTAAAAATGTTTGTTTTTAAATCCTGTCCCTTAACCCAATACCGTCGAGCTGCAGTGGAAATTATATTTGTTTTAAATATGTCAAATCATGTTAATATAGAAACAAGAGAAAAACATAGACAATATGTATATTTGTAGCTATCAGAACTCCAGAACATTTGCTATTTTTCAATTTGTCAAAGATTTTGATTTTGGAGGAACTGAAATGTATGATCTGATACTGAGACTGGAGTTGGATTGAACAAACCGATATTTGAATCGTTGATGAATTGAGTTTATGATTTGATGTTGTTGGTCCAGCTATAGCATTAGTAATAGGAATAGCTTTAGAGCTTTAAAGCTATGTAGGGTAATTCTGTACCTATATGGTTGGACCTTAAAACATTAAGTGGATTCGATTTTTGGCCCTTACGCCATTTGCCTAACAAAACTAGCAATCGATGTAATTACCATTGTCATACGAGTTATCGAAACAAATTATGTATATCGATGGTATCGAATTGCAATCAAATCAATTATCAATCATATCGAGAGACCTTGTGAGTTCGCTATTTGGGTTCAGTTGTGGCAAGCGTTAGTACCGTCAGTACCGGCGCATAACTGATGCCCCTCCATAATGCCGGTTCGGCTAGGTAAATTATGTTAAAGTTATGTTAGTTCTGATCTAATTAGATTTGTGGTTAAATTCGATTAGCATGTATTCCAATACATATGTTGATGCCAGGTACGAGTCTTCGCTGACCTCGGCCCACACCCACTATTTCTTACCATATGGAGTTTCTTTCTTCTCCATTTTGATTGTATTCTCCGGCGTTGGCAATGCTTCGGTTGGCAGTGGTGTTGTCAAAAGGACGACCGTACTGCAGTCCGTGCCGCCCCAGCCCATATCGCAGAAGCAACGATTAGCGTTGGTGCAAAACTGTGGAATGGCATAACCAATGGGGTGGAAAAAAATATGTACGTATAAAAATTTATAAGTGGATATTCAGGATGCTGTTGTTATTGTCTTTGTTGTTATCGTGGTTATATTTTGTTAGTTTCTGTTGTGTGTGTGTTCCACTTTTTGAACTTACACCACGCTCAGAGCACTCTTGACCCTGCTTATTCGTTGGGCACTTGGTTTGATCCACATGCGGAAAGAGACTAACACACGTTTGGTTAAGACAAATCAAATTATCGCCGCATGGTGTGCCATCCTTGACCAAACCGTGATTTGGATAGCTGTTGGAGCCCACTTGACCGCTGGTTGCCCTGCAAATGCATACAAGTGTATTACAGTCAGCGGGCACATGCCTCAAAAAAAAAAAAGAAAGAAGCAACCTTTCCCAGCCCAACCCCAACCCCAACCCCAACCCCAACCCCAACCCCAACCCCAATCCCAATGCAAAGCCCCCATTACCAAAACCGAGCTACGCACTTGCATTCGTATTCCTGCGCCTTGATAGAGATAATTGTGCGCGAGTATAGCTGGTCGATTCCATCATTCACTGGCTGTCGCTCGCCCTCCTTGCACTGCAACGTGCCGCACTGTACGTTCCTATTGCCGGAGAATCAAGGGAATAAATATTATTTGTAAGTAAATTGAATATCACTCATAGCTGGTTCAAGTACTTGATTTGAAAAATCAAAAGTATTCGCAGTATTCACTGTTGAAAGCACCAAATACGCAAATCATATGAAATGTTAGTCATGCAAAATGCATTAGTACAAAGCGTTTTGATTTGTTTTGTTTGTTTTTTCTTTTGTAATCTAAGAAAGCAATACGCATAATATTCAAGGGCACCTACTCTGGCTCGCATTTGATGTAATGATCGTTGGCATCGCGACCGCAGTGACCGTTAATGGAACCCTTCGAGTTAAACTGTTCATAGCACTGACGATCGGCCGCAAAGCCGCCGTAGCCCCAAATGGCCTCACATTGCAGATTCAGGGTGGGGCAATATCCCTGGAAGCAATAGCCTGAAGAGGAATATGTCATAATATTAATACCAAACCAGACTGGAATATGATGTGTCACTCCATTACCCGAAACACCTGACTTGCTAAGGCCGCAGGGGGAGCCATTCTTCTTGTAGATATCAACGGGACATTGGCCCACCTCGCCATCGCAATACTCGGGCAAATCGCATTCGTTATGCGAGTCGCGGCATATGTAGTCCTTGGGTCGCAGCTGGCATAAACACAATTGTGTTCAAGTCAAAAGCAATCACATTTTCCACTTTTCACTTTTCACTTACCCGACATTGGTCACAGCAGGCACCGCTGGCGCACTGTGCTTCGGATTTCAGCTTACATGTGATGCTATCGCAGCAGGGATCCAATGCACATTCCTCGAACGTGCCGCAGTCGCACTCCTCGTCCTCCTCGATGATTTTATTTCCACAGTTGCGCCGCAACTCAATCTGCAAATGATGGGAATATATGTATTTTGATTTCTGTGCTGGATATTAATAGGTTCGTAAATGATTGTAAGCAATTCCTAGCAATATAATATCCTTAATAACTATTGCTTTATATTAGTTTAGATATTTTATTAAAAATAAAATAGAATATAAATCATATTTTAACAACTCATTTTTAATCAAAAGTAGCTTAATATCTCTCAATTTAGTTTGGAAACACAGCATTTTGAATAAAAACAAAAATAATCATTTTATCTGCATATTTAAATGACAATGTACTTAATAATTCATACGCCCAGTTGTATCTTTGTTTTGGGATACTTATTAATGGGTATTTCTTAGTCTCTTGTACAAAGCACGCTAATTGAGTATATCTGCGCTGATGCAGTTACTACGCAACAGTAAACCTCCCTAGCAACTGACCGCAGAGCCAGCTGAAAACCTATTGTGTACCAATAGAGTGGCAAGAGAGGGGGGGAGGGGGGTACGCGCCATATCTCACCTCGTTGGGCTTGTTGAGTAAACAAAGCCCGTGACCCGTTCGCAATGCGTCAATGTAATCCTTTTTGCTGCATTCTGAGAATTTGTATGGCTGCACATTCTCCTGGCCGACTATTGATTGCGCCATGATGCAACCATGCCAGTCCCGGCAGAAGCATTCCTCACCTGAATAAAATTGCAGAAATTCCATACAATACATTTAACACAAAAGCTTCAATTCCACAAATACTAGGAATTCAAAGTTCTTAGTACATATCAAAATTAATCCTACTTAATGTACACGTTCAATATACACAAGCAATGCCAAATCTTAAAGCAACACAAATGGTATTTCAATATAAATTTACTACAATAAAATATTTTTTAATAAAATCAAACAACATTTCGAGGAGTATTCATTACTCAAAAGAAAATTGTTTTAAAGTGAAAAATTTTAGGAATTTCAAAATAATGTTCTACAAGTCTTTATTTTAGACTAATTTGTATTCAAATGAAAGAAGAATTTTTATAAAAACCAGAAGATTTAAAAAAAATATGTATTGGTGATTTTATTTATTTAGAAAATACAAATATAATTGAAATTCTCAAAATATTATTTTCTTAAGCAAACTATTTTGGCCAAAATTCGCTAATATTTTGAAAGTAGACCTGGCAACAGATTTAATTATACTTACGCCCATCGTCGTGGCCCATGCCAATATTGTGGCCAATCATATGGGCCATTGTGCCCGCCAAAAGGTGCGGCTCATACACATTGACATCCACGCTGATGCCGACGGCACGGGGCGTGCAGACAGTCTCGGGCACGGCCATGCCAGCCTCGCCCCCGGCGAACGTTTCCCCGCTGTCAAAACAAGTGAGCACGTGCATATGCACATTATATAGAGTATATGCGTGTGTGTGTGCGTGTGTGTGTGTGTGTGTGTGCGCGTGTCTACTTACGATAACAGCTGTGTGGTATCCCTCTCGATTTGATACAGATTCCTTGAAGTGTAGTCATTAAAGTTGGATATGGCCTTGCTAATGTCCTTGCTGCCATCAATGGCCGCCTGGTTCTTGCCCCACGTCTCAATGTACACCACAGACACACGAGTGTTCAGCGTGCGGAAATACTGAGCAGGCGGACATAATCAGAATTACAAAATAAGTGCTCATTGCCATTTGTGTGCTCACCAAATCAGCTATATTGGCCACCTGTATGGCATCGTGGATGACTTCGGCGCGTGTGCTGCCGTTCCGCTTCTCGAACATGGCCTTATCGACTATGATGGCCGTCTCGATATATTTGGTTGCCTCGCGCACATCCCGCTTATAGCGGCCTGCCCCGTTCGGGTGTATCTCATCGACAACGCCCGCCGACAGATGCTTGGTGCGACGGGATAGGCGCCACGAGTCCAAATTGCCAGAGTTGGCGCAACCCTTATTGGCCTTGGTGCGCGCCTCAAAAATCACATGCGGATGTTTCTACAACCACGATGAACGGGGCATTTGATTACAGGCTAATTACCTTAGTCTGGGATCACCTAACTTACCGATAGATCACCGCCGTAAAAGGGATGTATGACAAAGGTCTCGTTGCCAATATGTATGACACCGCTAACGCCGTTGCAGGTATGAAAGGCGGCACTAGCACCCGGATAATCCTTCACTGTGCCATGATAGTAACAGTGCTCAATGTCCTGCAACAAAAACAAATGAGATATATAATATGGTGGTCCGACGTTGACAAGATTATGCTTATATGAAATGGAAACTATGTGGTACAGCTGTTCGATGTGTTGCCTGAAAGGGAATGTCAGACCTTTGCGCCTCTTTCAACTCAAAACATGTGTATGATCAAATTATAATACGCTCTAAGAGGCAATTGCATAGTTGTACTTCAAAGCATTCAAGTTTTATTATAAATAAATGTCTCCGCTAACTTATACAAGTTTCTATTCAACAGAAAGAGTGCTCTAGTCACGAGTATCTGATCTTGAATCCAGCGCCAAGCTGCCTTTTAAAGCACTTTACCTTCTGAGCCCCACAATTTGAGAAGTGCACTCCTGAGTGACTTCGATGCTTGTGGTCGAATGTTTATGAAAGTTTCAGGACTTAACATTTGATATTCAAAACTCTAAAGGCGCAAATCTCTAGCTTTGAAAACCCATTTTGGTTGAATGTATTTAGCTCTTAAGACAATCTCAAAATCGATATTGATCGATATTGATTTAAGAATTGGTCTAATCTTTTTGAAATTTTCAGGATTTGAACATGACAGTCAAAAGAGAGCATATACCAAAGCGCTTGGCTCTAGCTTCAATTTCTTTACCACATTTTGGTCGAGTATATCTAGCTCTTATAACAAAGCTATGACAAAATCGATATTTATCGAGATTATGCAAAAATTGTATGATTACAGAAAAAACTATCGCATTCTGTATGTGGTATAGAAAAATATTTTTTACTGATTTCAAGTCTCCAGCTCTTCTTTGACGCCACACAGACGGAAAAACGTAATTTGAGCATGAATCTGAATAGGTATTTATAGACCGGCATGCCCAAGAGTATAGATCTTTATTTTATTTTTTAAAATATTCAAATTCAGGCAAAATACTATTAGTATTTCATTGTTTTATGATTATTAAAGTGCAAGTAATATTGATATTTAGCAAAACAATAAATGCGTATGCGCAAACCCTGGGATCTGTTACATAACATACTCGTATACCTAAATCAACTGCAATGTACAATGCACTCAAAAATAACAGAACAAACCGACCGATTCCGTCTCCCATATTTATTTCGAATGCCTAAGAATTCGCCAAGAGCACAGTGACACATGAGAACGTGAGTCCTGGTGAATTCCTGGGTATTCGAAATAACGGGCGAGCCAGAAGGGGTCCGAATGTCGAGCACTAAACTTGAATTACACAGTAAATAAATTTCGAAATGTTGGAAACCGACAAAAATACTACGTAATACAAATTTGGGCGTTGCAAATTGTTGGACCAGGTCCATGGATTACACTTTGCATGTTGGAAAATCTGACTGCTGCGGCAGCTGTAAGAAACTGTACTAGAATTTTGGGCTGTTATTTTCGTTTCTGTTGTTGTTGGTGTTGGTGTTGATGTGATTGTAGTTGATATTGTTGTTGTTGTTATTGTTGTTGCTTATAATCGCTCGTTGATTTTGAATATGTTGCTGATGTTGTTGTTATTGTTGTTGGCATTGGTGCTGTTGTTGATTTTGTGAACCCCAGTTCCGCACACCTAAATAAATAGACAATCGGCAGCCCTCTCCAGATCCCAATTCTCTTTAGAGAGCACCGCGCGCGCCTTATGCTCATCGATGCCCATATCCTTGAGACGCTCAATCTTCAGATCCAAATCGGGAAACGTACGGGATCCGCCCGCATACGCGCTAGTCCAATGCTTGGCCGTTAGTAAAAATAGATCGTGCCGCTTTTTGAACTGATAGGCAACCACAAAGTCCTGCCAATCGTCTGGCTCGGCAGCGGTCAGCATACCCTGTAGCGATAACAAAACAGTGCTCAGTGTCATGGCTGCGGCCCAATGATCCTTCAGGATGTCCATGCGTATGGCCCCAGTCACCGATGAGATGTTCGGATGCCAGATGCGTGTCATAAAGCGAACTTCTGGTGGACTGAATGGATATTTATCTGGCACCTTGATTTCAAGCACAAATTTACCGCCCTCATACGGCGTGCCGCGCGGCCCAGTTATCTCGCCGCGCAGCTCTGTCCAGCTATCATTGACGAGCTCCATTTTGATCAGGCACTGGCGGAACTCTTCACCGCTGAGTGCCTCTTTAAACTCGCGCTTGATGCGCGCCTCAGCCATGTTTGTCATGGTTCCTCAAAGATGTTCTTGTTATTGTTTTTGTTGTTCTTGTGTTGTAAATCGCGCTGTATTTATTCTTTACGTTCCAAGATTTTTTTGTTGTTTTCCATATATATTATATACGAAACGCTTCAGTTTTTCTATTTTATTAAAAACTGACACTTGTTCGAATACAAATGGCTCGGAATTCGGACTGCTAGATTGATGCGATTTTAACATACTTTCAATTGTGGCTCAACATTTTAATTTAAATTCCTATCATTGTTTCACAACAATTATGCCACTACAGATTGCTGGGATATTTAAAATGAGGATTACTTACATGCCGATTGCCATCCACTTGATATCCACCGACGTGATAGTGTTTCTGTTGTATGTTGGGTGACAGTAGTTGACTGTAAAAGTAGACGGAATATATAATGCGAAGTAGGAATAATGAATAAGCTACCAAATCTCTTAACTAGTTTAATTTCAACAATAAATCAGCTTTATTTATTCTACTCACGAGTTCAATTCCAAATCCAAACGGAATTTGTGATTGAATGCCTTGATGAGCAGTGAGGTGCGATGAAAATGTTTCTGAAATTTAAAAGGGCAAAAATAAAACAATCTTTAGTACTCCGACTAAATGCCCGCACACAATATATTCCCAATTGTCTAGCTTTTAGCCAAATTGACCTCGGCTTTATTGACCGTATTGTATTTGATTTTATTATACAACTTTTGTTTGAATGCGCCCGAATTCAGCTACATTAAATATAATTATAAATAAATAATCCCTTTTTTATACTACGTGAAACATGACACTTGGGACAATTCTTGTTTTTTATTCCCATTCCAAAATCGATTTCAAACAGAAACGAAATGGATTCGATTACAAAATCCGTGCATTTATTTATGGCCTTAAATGTTTATTTATAAATTCGGCGTACATACCTTTGTCCTGCCTCTGCTGAATCCGCTGTCATCATGTGGGCGTGGTCGTTGTCCCGGCTAAGAAAAAAATTAAATAAAAAACGTCACGCTTTGAATAGTCGGCAAAAAGCGGACTCGCTTACGAATCTAAAACTTAGTATCAAAGCACATAAGGCATTAGATTTGAATGAGAACGGCTGCAGACTATTCATCTTGTGTTTTAAATAAATATTGCAATGGACAGTGGAAATGCCATATAACTGTAAGGTTCCTTTAAGTGATTCAATATAAACTATTTATGATTAAATTTGGATGACTGGCTGTATGTATGTATTGGTGATGTAGATTATGGACTATCTGTGTGTGTGTGTGTGTGTGTGTGTGGATAATGGGACAAACAATATCACGAGTGAATGAAAATAAATGTGAACATACCATTGTGTTTGTTTCGATTTTTCTAGTATTTCTCTTATGCAAATCTTTGCGTACCTTTGGGGGACTAACTTCGCGAGTTGAGATTCCCATCTTTTCGTGATGACGCAGTTGCACCGGATAGATTATTTGATAATAATGTCCACCAATACGACGCACAAGTTCCTGATTTTGTCTATACTCTTTGAGTAAACGTTCCACTTCACCTGCAAAAAAGAATTATTTAAAAATGCTCGCTAAAGTATTTCTTCAATCATCGATTCGAAGAATAACACTCCCTCAATCACGCACATTAACATTAAAACTACACATATAATGGAAAACTAATTGCTATAAGGTAAATATACTTACCAACTGGACTTTCTTCGTTCCAAAATGAATCATCGAGCGTATAATCAGCTTCTGCAAAAGAGAAGTATTTTATTAAAATTGAGCTTTTAGTGAATGCGCATTGTGTTTTTAGATGGAATAACAGTTGAGGGCCCCAATAAAAGACTTTTACGACTTGAGTTCTCAGCTAGGTTTTCGTCTGGGAAACTCAAGCTCAAGTATCAAATAACTCAGCTAAAAAACTCTGATCAGTGTAAACACACGACTAAGAAACTCAGTTGAAATGAACATATAGATTTACCCGCCGTTTGGCAGCCCTAGAAAATGACAGCTCAGAAGAGCGCTCAGATTATATATATTAAATAATAAATAACATGTTATATTTCGTTAAAGCTTTTCCTCTGAGAAGGTAAGCCTCAGTCGGAAGCTCAGTTGCAAACTCAGACTCAGCTTCAGTAAATGATGAAATATCAGTTTAGCATAAAACCCCGAACCTCCCTGGTCTAGATTTTAGCATCATGTTTAAAGCGACCTTTAAAGATCAATTATTTAATCGGATCAATTATTTAAGAAGATGATTATTCAAAGCCTGCAATGTGAAGCGAATAATTGATGGAATAATGTCAGATTGGCAGGCCCGTAAAATGTACGTCTACTCAAAAACCCCCTTCAAATTTTTGAAACAGCTTCAGCATAAAAATTCAGCTTGCTTAGAATTAGCTGGGACTCGCTGGAATGCCTCAAGACAGTTTAGCTATCGGACTAGTTCTCAGATTTCTCAATAGCCCGTCTATGATAATAATTTCAATTAAAATTGATTTCCAAGAACCGGAAACATGAGAGCTGTTTCTCAATCTACGGATTATATATTGGGCTGTACTTTAGTTTTTTGTTGTTACAGACCATATATCGTTTCAGAATCCAAACGCTTTGCCAAATTTCGTACACGACGGTAAAGCGTAGGAATTCTAAAACGATACGATGGACATTATTTAATGTTAAAAGCCTAAAAATAAATTTAACAAAATTACTCGCTCATTGTACTGAAAATTGCAAATTATATGAAAGCAAAAATAAATTCAAACATTACAAATAACACGACATTTACAAAATAAATGTTTTAATTTAACATAATATGAAATTATAATTTGATTGAACATTTGTACCATTATGGACCGTTACAAGTTAATAATTGTGGTTCTGCCAGTAAAACTTGCCTAACCACAATTAAACAATAAATGATAAGTTAAATTTCAATTTACGCACAACGTTTGTGAGCCACAAAATGCATTTCGAATTTCGAATTGGGCAATGATGCGTTTATCATTAATTACGCCTTCTATGAAACCAGCATAAATTGAAACACATGCAAAGCAGAGCTCTAATGCAAGCTCTGCCTATGGCTAGTGCATATTAATATCTTGCGCCCAACGTGGACAAATAAAACTAATTATTCGAGTTGCCTAAGCAAACGTAGATAGCAAAGGGTTTAATGGGCGTTAGCAAAATGAGTTACCCCAATTGTGTGCCTTGCATATATTATTATATGCATCCATTGTTGCCATGCAAAACTCCCGCCCACTAATAATCGTTTTTAATCCCATAAACACGTATACACTTAAGTACTTATGAATATTTTCTAACAGGCTAACATATTAACGCTAACGTAAAGACTCCTATTCATAACGTAATATTGTATAATGGCCTAAACATTTTTAGTTAATATTGACGGATACGTTCGCTTACGTACTTAAGTGCATACTCATACACATATATATACATACGCTACTTTGGGTTTAAGGCAATGTGTGTGCTATATATTAGTCAACGGGCAATCATTAGGTATTATCTAAATTAGAAATCTTCCCTAGAAACTAAGGCAACTTAATAAAAGGTGAATATCAACTACAGATGGATTAAATTCTGTAATCTGGTCCCAGGTGTGGGTGCAAAATGTTGCATGATGAAAAGGGATGTTGGCACTAACTTAACATCACATAATTCTGGACAGTTGATGGTAACAAGAGACTCTTTAAAATGGGCACAAGTAGAAAAACGTTTTACAAAAATAAATTGTATAAAAACAGAATAAAATCCGCAATCAACAAGTAAGAATTATTTGTACAGCAAAAAGTAAATCGTCAAATGCACAATTAGCTAAAAATGTAGCTACGTCCACAACCACAAGCCAGCTCCCTGAGGTAAGAGGTAAGCCAGGACATGACAGTTTTGGTTAAAAAATGACAAGTGAGTGCATTGCGGTCGACTGTCACAGACTGCGCAGTACACAAAAATGTAGACTTGCTCAGTTTGCAATCGAGTATAGCACTCTACCTAAAGGAATTAAAGGATATAGGAGTGTGCACAAGCATGTTCCCTCTTTTAAAGGTGGGCTTTTAAAAGCATACAAAAAGCCTGATAAGCCCAAGTATTGGCGGTTCTGCATCCAATGCGTGCTCGTTCATGAATGAGCACAGCCTATTTTGGAGCTTTGAAATATGTAGATGAGTTTTTTTACCCTGAACCCATTAAAAACGGGTAAATGGGTAAGAAAAAATGTATAATGTTTTTGTGATGTTATGTAACAGACAGAAAAAGGGCAACCACGAACCCAAAAAGTATTTATATGTTTGATCAGGACAACGATTTAGCCATGTCCGTCAGCATCAACGCATCAATCTCAACAAAAGCGAAGGACTTAAGAATTTTAAATATACATTCTCTATTAGAAATTATAAGAGCTAGATTCTTACGGTATACATATTCCGATTATCTGCATACCTCCATCATTTCTTTCCAAATGGGAAAAATACGTATTTGTAATAACTTGGAATATACACACTTTTGCATGCCTTATTTAAGCAGATCTGAGATAAAAGGTCAGACATTAAACATCGAAGTTAGTCGAGAATGCATTTGCTTTACACAGTGTGGAGCGAAGGAATGAAAAGACACAGCAATCATATACATATATAAATGTGAGTTTTTCTGTATGCATTTACAGAAGGCAGCTTGGCCTTGGCTTCGGGATATGTCTTAGTCGTATACGACCGGAGCTCAATTACTTGTACTTCTATTCTCTTTTCCCAGTTAATTGATGTGGTAAATAAGGTAAGCTGCCTGTTAGGGTCCGCAAAAAAATAAAGCACAGAGGGATACACTATTATTTGCTCATCGATGCGAGCTTAAGCCCATCGCCGCTGGGAGTCCACATCACTATTGACTGCTGTCAATGCTGAAATTTAGCTGGCAACGCAAAAAAATAAAATATAAAAATAAAATAAAAAACTTGAGTTTTATTTGCACAATGTGTTTATATTGGGGCTTTGCATTGTTGCACGCCAAGTGGTATACAAACCAACCGCCCAGTCACATAGTTGGGCCAAATCCCACAAAATGAGCATCAATCAAAAGTAAATCACGCCGGCGACTTGATGAAAGCGTGACATGTGTTGTTAAAAAAAAAATATGAAAAATCCCAAGGGTTGAGCTCTTTGGGGAGCACAGAAAAAGTTACTTAAACTTCAATAAAGCCAAATTTAAACTTTTTGCGGCATCCTATTTCTATCTCTCGTTAAAAACCAACCAACCAAAGAATGTAAACTGTGTAAAACAAAAACCCCAAGAATTCCTCAGGCTATATATTTACACGGTCTGAGTTTCCCGCTGAGTTTTCGCCTGAGTTGTGCTCAGGCCGTGTAAACACAAGTCTGAGCAGCTTATACGAAATAGAACCTTTTCTATTCATTTGTCATTGTCTATGTCTGACAAATTGCAATGTGCTGGTCTGCCACTTATTGCAATTGGTGTTTAATTTTTCGATTGTTTGTAGCTATCGACAATCGATAACAACAAAAATGCTGGCCTTTCTGTCTTTATTACTTGGCAACTTCTTGAAAGATATTTTTTTGACAAAGAAATAATTAAATGTATGCGTGCTTTCCCAAGTTATATTTAAAATTAATTTGAGTCCCATCGAAATAAGTTCCAAAACTTTGAATCTACATTTTCCAAGTATTTTACTCCTGTGAGGCAAAGCTTGAAGTCGAAAAATAAACTTTCGTTGCATGTTCTTTAAGCTGAATTTACCATGTAAGAGGGGTGAAATTTGTGAAACCCGTATCAAATTGATTTTCACAAGGATCTTTTGAAAGGATCAATGTCTCTAAAACACGCATTCATTAAGTTATTATGTAGGGCTTTGCAAATCAGTGGCAAGCGGATCGGACGAAACTAAGAAATTCGCCCAAAAATCGATGACATCCAAGAGGGTTAGATTGGACAAAAAGTGGGAGACATGTCTCAGATGGCTTTTTATAATGATTCTTTGATATATGTTAGAAACCGTAACGTAACCAGCCAAATCTTTGACGGCCATTTCCACAGAAGAGGGATGGATTTTGTAATGAATCTGAATCACGCCTTAAATCAATTTTCATATACACATTCGAAAATGAAAAATTGTTTCATACAACCACTTACAGACTTCTTACACACTTGCAGGTGGAATCTCCCAAAACCCCGTCTTAGCGTAGTACAAACTTTCTATCTCTTACGGTTTTGGCCATGCGTGCATGCATGCAATGGCCTGCAAGTCAGTCATACAGTCTGTCATTCAGTCAGCCAGTTAGTCAGCCAGTCGGCCAGGCAAACAGTTTCATATAAAGACGATTGATATACATGTTTCTTGAACAAATGTTGCTACTTATGCATGCTGTAAGTCCTTCAAGAAATCCTTCAAAAAGTACCGTAAGACGTACAGGATAAAAATATAAATAGGTTTATTCAATGCAGACGATTGCACATTTCTGGCATCAAGGTTGAGTGGTTCTCAAGGACGTTTCTGTCAAACAGCATTGCTTAAAATAGATTCAAATGATGAAAAGGGAAAGAAATCGAATGTCAGTTGCCAGCTGATGTAGTGTAGCATTTGTATTAGCATGGACTGTAAGAGCTCACCCATTAGGTTAAGGGTCATCGAAACATAAGTACAGCCAGTAAACGCTAGTTGCTACTTCATCTCCATTTTTTAAAAACGTATTTTTTTTACCAACAATATTAGCTAATAAATGGCTTGAAATATGGATATGGATTAAATAAAAAAGTCCTATCGATCAAAAGAGCGTACTAAAAGTGACTTTCTTGAATTAATAAAATGATAGCAAATGGTATAACATATTAAGTAAATGGTATAAATCACCAAAATTAAAAATTAAGCTCGCATTTAACGATTTGTCATAATTCACCTAAAATTATAGTATTGGAACTAACTAATCTTTAGATGTATATGAAAATGCATTAGCATTGAATTGAATCGAGATTCTTGCTTTTTATTGCTTTCATTAATGTTTTGGGGTATGATTTTTTATTAGACATAAAATATCTTTTGGCCATCTGGGACCAGCCGGAACATGAGTTTCCGATCTTATTACATGCACACTTATTAATATGCATATCTATATAGAGATATTTGAATTTATAGTACGAATTCCGATTCTTGGTGTCAGATCAAGTACACTGCAATTATATGAAATATATTCTCTAACGATAGGAAAGTAATAAGTATAGGAAATAATACATTATATGTAATCGCTGCATAACTAAATGTTGACTAAAAGAAACCCACTTTGAACAATAATATATTACATTTATTTTTTGAAAAGCCTAAAAGCTAACAAGCGCTACGGATTAAGTTCTTGTTTCTATATCATTAGTTCTTAAGGAAGAGCTACATATACATTTGGAAACTTCTAAACATAGTTCCATTACAATTTTGCTTGGCATATAGTCAACAATAGTAAACACTCTTATTGGTATATAAAAACTAAATATAAAACAGATTAATATTGCAATAGGAGTCGTAAGCCCTATAATTTAGGAACACTTTTTACAATAGTTCGACTATTACAAAAATCAGACAAAGATATTTAATAAAAGTCGAACTTTATCGGACAACCAAAAGACATATTTGAAAACCATAACACATCTTCTAGGCAATGTTATCCAACCCGCCCGATTTTACAGAGTTGAAAACTTGAGAACCCTTGAAAAAAAAACCCTTCAGGCTATCCTCTTTTGCAAAAGCGAATCGAAAGAAATACTATCAGCAAGTATGACAACAGGAATAGAAAAATTGGGCACGTTAACTTACAAAAAATTAAAGTAACTCAACCTAATCATTACAGGCATAACAGCAACAGAAAAAAAATAATTAGATAAAAATAAGACAAGCGTTTAACATAATCGAAAAACAATCGAACTAGAGCATTATAATAATTGTTAAGAACTAAGAAACGAGAGCATACTAAGATAATAGCAGATACAATTGCTGGTATTTCTGATAACTCTGATATTCAAACTCCAAATTACTGGATTAACAGCAAGTGAAGTCCTCGATAGATGCGTTATTTAAGTGAAGTAAGGACTAACTAAACAAGAAAACTAAACTAAACTAAACAAGATATAGATACATAAGGACAACTAAGCAATACAGTCGAAGGTCATAGTAGCCTGTGCTGTTCAATATGTTAAAATAACAGTCTGAAGCTGTGAGTTATACTCAAATGAGTAATAAAATATTGAACAGAATCAATCATAAAGTATGAATCAGATATAAAATTTTGACTCTGTCAGAAGAGCATATTGCTCGCCAAAACTTTCATGTGACTAACACAACTTGCCCCAACTACTTTCGGAGGCTTATATAACATAACGATTCTGACGTATTGACTAGCTACAAAGCAATCGTTTGCAAACATTTGCGAATATTAAATAAAACAAAAAAACCCATTATGCTGTGGTCGCACGCAAAAAAGAGAAAATTGCGCTTTGATTCCAGGGTTAATAAGCAAATTTACATGTAAATGCTGCACGCTTCTATTTTGCGCACAAAAACAAAATTAAATGCAAATTTGATGAATTGAAAAAAATGCAAAATTGATAATGCATAATATTTATTATTACAAATATCTACAAGCCAATTTGTGTGACAATTCAAGTGAATCAAATAAAAACAATACAAAATAAATGATGAAAAATGAGAACAAAATTGACGATTTTAATTTGTGAATTATTTAAATATCTAATTTGCAAACGACTGCTGTAAATGTCAAACACATTTATGCAAATGCAGGGCACGGACGACATTTGTTCAATAACCATAATTCTGTATCTTTAAAAAAAACCTTTATGCCATGAATTTATGAGTTTAAATAAGCCTTGTTGAATATGTGGAGCCCTAAGTGTGTATATGGGTATACTTATATATAGTTATGTATATACATGAGGTACTTACCACCAGCGGAGTGGACCAAGGCACAAAGCTGGGCTATGATGACGACCAAAGAAGCGAGTGTTATCCACATGACGGCGATTGCACTGACGTCTCCTCGTTGGCCTTGGTGCTCTCCCGACCAAAGGTGACTTGCTTCAAACGGCTGCTGGCTGGTAGACTTTTTAGTTGATACACCCGCAATCTCTCACTCACATACGATTGTCGCAATTGCTTTCAAGCTCTGAGGAAATTGGCTTCTAATTGTTTGGCTCTAATTCTTTCTAATGTGTTGCTTGTGGCTTAGCTAGATCTTCCACAGCAGTTGGTGGCAGAAGCTAAGGCTGGGACTGTTGCAGTGACTGTTGCAGCTGCTGTGGCTAAGGTTGCGGCTGTGGCCTTGGCTGTGGCTGAGGCAGAGGTTGTGTTGTATGGCAGTGGCGGGCAGGCGTGACTGGGTGTTGCTCGGCTGACGTCAGTGTGCAGGTCAAGTCGATATTGCGGCATCATTTCGCGCTGCACAATGCCCTTGCTGACCAGCTTCCTTACGACTACTTTGCCGCCCCTTTTCACACACTTAGGTCTAGCACTTTTTTTAATAATCACTTATTTCTTGTACGAGTTTCAAAAAAAATATAAACAAAAATCACTGTTTTTTAACTCTCTTTTCACAATCACAATAAAAAAATATTTGCTGTTTGCTTCACCAGAGGCTTGTCACAAACGCCCGCCGTTCTGGGGCGTATACTGATTGCAATTGTCTATCATACGAAGCTGATCTGCAAAGACATATAGAATACATATAGAAGATTATTTATTTATCTAGGCAAAATGCTTAAGGTGTACAAATTTGTATATGCCAGTTTAATTGAGCAGGACATCAAACAAAACGTCCTTGCATACATAAAGCAGATACTGGACATATGTGGTAAAATAGTTTAATGAGGATGTGCATTATAATGCTCTTAACTAGACGGCTAGATATCAAATCGGTTCAATGCAAATTTAAGATATTTGGCGAAAATCAATATATATATATAAATATATTTCTTTATATATAATAATATATATATATATATATATATATATATATATATATATATATATATATATATATATATATATATATATATATATATATACATATATACATTTTCACATTTGAAAGATCTAGACGATTATCTATGGCACTTACAATTGGAATATTTATCAGTTAGCAACATGTTAACTATATTTTGATATAAACAGAACTATATACTCGCTATATTTGTATGTATTAAAAGTGCATAAATATGCCGAAAAATTTATGTATTGTTCCGGCAAAACGCGCTGGCCGATCACTGATCCACGACTAAGCGATCGGCCCCGGCCGAAGCAACTGCAGATGCTCGTCAACGAACCTCGATTTGCAGACACTGTAGCTTCCGTACAGTGGGCATAAAGCGAATACCAAAGATGATAAAGTATTGTTTTAGTCGGGAATCATGCTATTTCATATAGTAAGGCTGATAGCCGGGAATCGAATCATAGTCAAAAGTTTGGTTCAAACTAAATGCCTTTGAAGGCGACCTAGTATAAAGCATAATTAGCTGGAACCATCTATATAATCTAGATCAAATGTAGCCCACAACTTCTATATAAAAATATGTACGGCTAGAAATATTTTCAGTAGAATGGGCAAGAAATTAAAAATTGAATTGTTTTATTTATATTTTGGAAATATATGACAAGCCCAGGTTTGAAACAATATCAAGTGGTAAATCGAGTTCACGAACTTAACCTCAAGGCAAAGATGGACATATTTATGCAATACTTCTGATAATTATTAATTGAATTGAAAAAGTTCATACGAATATTTACAGCAAATTATCCTCTTAGTAACACTTAACCTATACTTGACTTTAAGAAAAATTTCAATATGTTAAAACCCAAATTGTACTCAAAAGCATTGACTAAAATGTTATCGAATTTGAAAGAGCAACTCAATTAATAATGAGAAAGTTTGTATTGTGACGAGTTTTGTTTGATTCCACTGTTTGCCGCCTAATTAACCAAGGGCAGCCATAAAGGGGTCATAGTTAAATCATAGCAAAAGCAATGGCAAGCCCGAACTGCTTAAATAATTAATTGCGGCGACCCTCATGCGAACGGATGGATAGACGGCTAGCCAGTCAAGGGTGCACAAAGTGGATACATAAACAAATCATGATGCGAATATGTCCCTGAATAACGTCAACTGTGCGGATGCCGCTCGTTTATAATTGGATTCTGCTATAAGTCAATTAATGAGTCCATTTTCGATATTCTCAGTTAATTTCATTGTTGTGCGAGCAGCTTTTATCAGCTCGTAACCGACCGCCGCTAATATCAATTAGCTGCCAGGGAAACTATCCTTTGATTTAACTACTTCTGCGAATAAAATGTTTTCACTGGTAAAGCATTTTCTGTATTTTCATGCAGCTTACCAATGATTTTTCAACTTTATTTCGCTATCTCTTTTCAAACTATTTAATTTCACTCCTGTTTCTTTCGCCCTCTTACTGACCCACCCTGCCTATCGTATTATTCTTATAACTTATATTCTTTACAAAAAGGAACTTTCTTATGCTTTTCTTTTTCTCTTTCTTTTAATGTGTTTTAATATAATGTAGGTAATTAAAAACTACTTCCGAGATATACCTTTCCTCTTAATGCCTTTCTATTTACCTGTAGATTTAATTAACATAACAGTCAACAGTTAGCTGTAAATAGGGGCATAGATAGCCGGACGGGCAAATAAAATACTCCCATCGTGTTGCTGATGTTATTAAAAATGTTTGTAATTCCTCTAAGCTTTTAGCAGCTATTCATTCTATTGCAATATAAATTAAGCTATCACTGCAGTACTACGCCAACTATTTGCAAATTAAAATAACTTATAGACACGGAACTCGCCTTTTTGCAACTTTGTTCGCTTTTCAATATGCCAGGTTATTAAAGCAAGCCGCACATAATATTTTACTGCAGTCTGCCATAAAGCAGTTTATATAAAAAAAAATATATCCAAATACAAATAAAAGAAGATTGTGCAGAGTCGAGTAAAAGCAGCTGTAGGCAAAATTTACTTTCAAAGTAAAGTTGTTAAAGTATTAAGTCGAGCTTTATAATAAATCCCAACACTTAACGCACACAACTGAAGCGATATTCGTTCGGAATCACATTTTGGTCATGGCTTTATTTTAAATGAATATAAATCTATTAATTCAATTGGACTTAACGCATTTGTCCATTTCGAAAATAAGATTACTTTTAATTTTGTAACCAAATTGATAGCTATTTTTGAAAAAAACAAACAATTTTAAATCAAACCAAAATCAATTTGCATGTCCTTAAAATTAAAAAAAAAAACTACCTTCAGATATATATATCTCACAAAAAGAGTAAAGGTAAAGTAAAGAGGAGGTTCTCAAATGAACCTGGTCCTAGACATTGAACTCGAATCGAATTCCATGTGGAGTAACATTTTGTTCAACAATTAGAATGTCGAGCAGTTAAGAATAAGCTCCGATCAATAAGCGTCGGACTTACAAGCGGTAAGTCGCTGGCTCAAATTCAGCTGTGATTTACACATCTTTAAGGGTAAAACGCGCGGCGGCATTTTGTGCGACTATGAATCTTCCAACAATTTCGATACCAAATGCATTTTCAACATTATGTGAACCATGCAACGCCGAGTAATTTCTCTAGTAATCTATATTTTGGGTGTACTTCGAAGAGAAACGTGATGCACAAGTCCTATTTGGCTGAGTTACTGAGCTCCAGCTGAGGTCCACAACACAATTGGAAAATTGATGTCTGAGGCAAGGCTCGGATTGAAAAATTGATGTCTGAGGCAAGGGCTCGGATTGAAAGTTTGATTGCGGCCTGCCTGTGGCCAGCACTGGGCACACAGATAATCCGCATTGGCATCGCATGGCCACCCCTGTTAATGACAGCCGCAGCAGCAATGGGGAAATTGGGGGCGCCATTTCGCCACGGCTTCAATCATGCGGCTGCATAATCACACAGCATTTGTTGCCAGCGGCATTGTGCTGCAGTGGTCATTGTTGTATGTTTTTTTTTTATTACTTTTTTATTTTTAAGGGGAATCTATTTTTTGGTTTGCATAGGCCTAGCCCAGTAAGCCGCAACAAAAATTTCAACTCGAGTGCTCGTGCGGCACACAAAGTACATAAAGAACACGGCTGTTGTGTGAGTGTGCATTTGTCTCCATGCCAATGTCGGATTGTAAAACTTGACTGATTTTCACATAGCTCCAAGCAGATATTTTTGGGCATGTCTGACTCGATATAGGACTTATACATAAGCCGTAGACGCTATTGCTATGACAGCAATGTGGTTTTGGCTTTTAACTTTGAAAAGCTCCAGGCATTGGGACAATTAGCATTTCAAGTCTGGTGTGAAATTTGATATAATAACATTCGCGCTGTTCGCGGGAATCAATAGAGAGTCTTTTTTATGTTTGGAATGAGGAAAACTCCCAACTTTTTGCAACCAACTGAACGGAAATTTTGTATGGAACAGTAAAGTACTATGCCCCTTGTATTCAAATACTCGATCTCTTCAAAAGACTTAAGTTGTGCTCTTAAAGTGCCCCATACCAGTTTACCGTGGGGTACAATAAACCCAAATTTACTAAATGTAGGCACAAAAAAAGAAGGAAAAATCTAAACAAAACACGCAGCCTGGGCTCAAGAATCGTCTGGGCAGTTCACAATTCGGAGCACATAACAAATCTCTCTCTGGCATGCAGACGTTGCCCTGTGGAATCCGACGCCCCTGCCCTGGGGCCAGCAGCTGCTGGCAGGGGGCGGTCCGGACGTTCGCCAGGCGCCGCCGACTGCCGCTTGCCGTTTTGCCGATTGCTATGAGACCAAAATGCACACACACGCATACATATAAATATATATATATAGTGGTTTTAAGATACGAAAAGAACGCTCTCTTACACACAGGCAGGTCCAGAGCCAGGAACTGGCAGTCAGCAGGCAGCTGACAACCCAGTCACATACTCTGTGCCAGCTCTCGGCCTCTCTCTCTCCCCATCACTCATTCGGTTGCTTTCTTGCTCTCGTTGTGTTATGCTCTCTCGCCAAGACAGCATCCGAAAGCGTGGCTGTAGCCATAACGTGCCCCACATCAAATTGCCGAGCAGCCACTATCGACGCATGCCCGAGCAGCGGTGACCGAAAACGCGCCCAAACTTA